TAAGAAATCTACAAAAATGGAAGAACATCCCATGCTCATGGATAGGAAGATTGAACATTGTGAAAATGTCAATTCTACCCAAAGCAATCTATGCATTCAATGCAATCCCAACCCAGATCCCATAAACATTCTTTAAGGATATGGAAAAGACAATCACTAACTTTATATGGAAAGGAAGGAGACCTCAGACAAGCAAAGCACAATTGAAGAAGAAGAACAAAGGAGGAGGCCTCACACTCCCTGATCTCAAAACCTATTGTGGTTTGACAGCCACAGTAGTCAAAACTGCCTGGTATTGGTAAAATGACAGACGCATAGACCAATGGAATAGAATTGAGAACCCAGAAATAGACCCATCGAACTACTGTCAGCTGATCTTTGACAAAGGGCCAAAATCCATTAAATGGGGAAGAGATTGTTTGTTTAACAAATGGTGCTGGCAAACCTGTATATCTATTTGCAGAAAAATGAAACAAGATCTGTACCTCATACCATACACAAAAACTAACTCCAGATGGATCAAAGATTTAAATGTGAAACCTAAAACTATAAAGTTCCTCAAGGAAAAACTAGGGACAAATTTATGGGCCCTAATATATGGCATAAATAGACTATCAAGCATAACCCAAAATCCATAAACAGCAGAAGAGAAACTAGATGGGACCTTCTAAAAATTACATTTTTATGTGCTTCCAAAGACTTCTCCAAAAGAGTCAAAAGAGAACTTACAGTTTGGAAAAAAATATTCAGCAATGAGACAACTGACAAGGGACTTGCCTCTAGAATTTATAGAAAACTCCAACACCTCGACAACAAAAAGACAAATAATCCAACTAAAATATGGGCAGAAGACATGAATAGACACTTCACCAAAGAGGATATTCAGGCAGCCAACAAACACATGAAGAAATGCTCACGATCATTAGCCTTTAGAGAGTTTGAACTGGTTGGTGAGTTTGGACCACTGACCTTTTGGTTAGCAGATGAGTGTTTAACTGTTGTTCTACCAGGCCTCCTCAAAATACATGATGGGAAAGAAAAAAAAACAAGCCCAATGCCATCAAGTCAATTCCAACTCATAATGAACCTACGTGACAGAACAGAACTGCCCTACTGGGTTTCCAAGGCTGTAATCTTCATGAAAGTAGACTGCCACATCTTTCTCCCACAGACCAGCTGACGGATTCAAAGCACAATCTTCAGGTAGCAATCAAGTGCTTAACCTCTGCACCATGAGGGCTTATTTAAACATACATGATGATACAAGTCAAATGTGATCAACTGTTAAAAGGAATGACAAAAATTCAGGGAAAACAAAGTTAATATGAGTAATAAAGTGACATGATGAGATGGCTGTTTTAAATCATAAGCTCAAATTAAGTTACAAATAGAATCTAAAGTTGGAAGGAAAAGGTAATGATATTTTGGTTCAAAAATTCTGGTATCTCAAAGACAAATGTTCTGAAGTTTACTGTCCTGGGGCTCTTTCTTGTCCACCTCTTCCTATTTTGCAGGTTGCAAAAAAGGACAAGGAGGCCACATATTCTGACCTCCCAGAACCCCACAAGAGGAAGGCAGAATCACCATCAATAGCCCAAGGCCTATTCCTTCGAGGCCAGACAGGCTGCCTCCCTCCAGCCCTTTCTCCAACCGTTCCTCCCAAAGCACCCACCACCTCTCTCCTGGGTTCGATAATTCACTGCAGTGGCCACACAGAACTCAGAGATTATGGAGTTTTTTAGGGAAGCACCAGGCTACAATTCAAGCTCAGGAAAAACGCTCAGTCTCTCTCCCAGCCCACCGTCTCTCAGCCAAGTCTCTCACAGTCTCTCCCCCAGCAGTGCATGTCCCTCAGTGTCTTACTCAGCAACGCGTGTTGCTTGCGTCTCTTTCCCAGCAGTACGTGTCTCTTTCAACAGCACATCAGAACTTCATTTCTTTGTATGGCTGAATAATACTCTATACAGAATATTTTTTTTACATTCACAACTATGTCTTAACAGTCACAGGGAATGAGGCAGACAGAAAAAGCAGAGTGAATCATTGCCCAAGTCTATTCTCCTTCCTGTAAATGAAACCGTCATCACACGAATATCACCATCACATGAATGGTACCACCATCACATGAATGGTACCAGCAGCCTTGCAGCACCCAAACCAGAAACCCACATCTCCATAGCTCTGTATGATCTGGCTCTGCCTACCTACTCACCATCTTAAAAAAAAAAAAAAAAAAAACTTAATAGGGTACATAGTTTGAAAAACAGGCAATCCTCATCCCACTGTTGATTTCTACTCCTTGAACGTAACCACTTTTATCAGTTTTATTTTCAGCTATTTCTTTTGACATTTCTAAATAACTGTAAGCCCCCATATTTTCTTGTCTAAATATCATTCATTTAAATCTTCCTATAGGATGATCTGGGAGCTCTGGTAGCATAGTGGCTAAGGCACTTGCCTGCTAACCAGACTGCTGGCGGTTCAAACCCACCAGCCACTCCTCGGAAGGAAGGTTGGGCAATCCTACTTCCGTAGTGATACTGCCTCGGAAACCCAAGGAGGGGTCGCTATGAGTCGGGGCCGACTCGACGGCACATAACAACAACAACAACATAGGATGATCTGGTAGCATAGTGCCTAAGGCACTTGACTGCTAACCAGAAGGCTGGCGATTCAAACCACCAGCTACTCCTTGGAAGAAAGGTTGGGCAATCTACTTCCGTAGTGATACTGCCTTGGAAACCCAAGGAAGGGTCGCTATGAGTTGGGTCCAACTGGACGGCACATAACAACAACATAGAAAGGAAATTCCTACTTTCTATATGGACTACCCTCTAAATATATTTCATTTTTTCACTCATCTTTTCAATAATTTTAATAACATTCATCATGAAAATTACATTCAGAACTTATGAAGTGAATATGCAAAT